AGCTTGAGGCAGAAGAGGTTTGGTCTACATGAGAGGTGGAGATCTCCACATTTTGTAAGCATGGTGACAAGAGTTTGCTGCTGTGTGTTTGGAAACAGGTGATTACAGGGATGGGGAAGTCAGTGTGGATACGGTTTAAAAAAAAAAAAGTGAAAATGGGATTCTGCAGTGGTGGAGAGATGGAGAGAGGGCTGTGGGACAACGAAGGACAGAGATGGTTGGGAGCTGTGTGGGGGACAGGAGTGGGAAGGGTTACAAACTCTTCAGCTGTGCCTGCTTGTCTTTCATCCAGTGCCTCAAAATCTGAGACCTGCTTGTTGGTGAATGGAGACAAGGATCCCAGAGGTTTTCGGGGGACGGCTACCTTTGCGTACCAGTAAAAGAGGAAGTGAGTGTTTTGCTGTCGTGCTCCTCTCCAGTGCCACATGCATTTCTGTGGTGCTACAGGTCTGGAAGTTCCTGTGCATGCAGAGTGCTCCCTGTCAGCAATAGGATGCTGTAGACATGGGGACTCGGAGCGCCCAAAATACAGAGGGATCTATTGCCATGTTTCCTGTCCTGAAGCATCATTTGTGGGCCATGGCGAGTCATCTGAACTGCATTCTTCCCTTTTATCTCCCATTTTGCCGCAAGTGCCAGGTGCTGGGCTAATGTTTGAGTTGTGTTGGCAAGAGGAAGCCAGGGAACAGCACGCCTCTGGCATCTTGCATAGAGGAAAGGGTTTATCCTGGGGCATTTTTGAGAATCTGTCCTGAAAAAATAGCTGCAGTGGTGTATAGCTGGAGACTATGCTCACAGCCAGCTCCAGAGATTCACAGATATCCCTCAGCACTGCCAGAAGAGAGGTTTTTCTTTGCTCCCAAACTCATGGGTCATGCTCCCAGCTTCTAAATGACTCTCACAAGGTGGAACGCTGCTTTTGGATCCTAAAACCTCCAGAAATACTACCCACTCCAGTGAAGCCTGGGACGTAACCCCCTGGGAGAAAAAACATTTGTCTTATTTAAAGTCTGGAGATGCTCAGAGCTGAGGAATTGCAGACCAAGGGAAGTTTTTTGAGTATCAGTGTTTTCCCCTCACCTGCTGAGTTCAGATCTCCAAGTTTCATTCAAGTGGCAGATAACGTTCTTGTTTTCCAGGTGGGAAGTAGAGCTGTTGGGATCAGCTACAGTCTGTTCCAGCACTAGGCAAGTGTATTTGTTTCTGTACCAATAGAGGAAATTGCTGTATCCTATGGCTGTAGCTAATAATTCCCAAATAAGCTATACCAACAAAACCACTTTTTGCCCTTGTAACTTAACATCGCGCATGGAGGTTCCAGTTGCATAAAAGCATATTTTTGAAGTGCTCCACGTTGGCTTGTCACAACCTTTCATGGGAGTAATGGTAGGCAAGCGTTAACAGCTAAAGGCACCCCCTCCAAATCTAGAACTGAGGTCTTTGAGATTTACTGCACTGCAGACTCACAAAAATTTGAATATAAAGGCAAAAATGCTTTGAAACATGTTTTGAGGTCCTATAGCACGTGTTGAAGCCTAAACTCAAATTTTGCTGAAGAAGGGAAGCTGTTTTCAATTTCTAAGCCGTCCTTGGAGCAGTGAAAAGCACTTTCTTTCCTAGGCGTGTTGTATCAGTGCTCTAGAGCCAGACACCCTCTTGTTAATCCTCTCTGGCCCCATAAATCCTGTGCTTCTTTCTGCACAGCAGCATAGTTTGAGCAGATGGACTGGGATGTGGTCCCATTGCAGCCTGTTGCAGCCCGAGAAGCTATGTCTGCTGTTTCTTATTCTAACCACCAACTGCTGGAATATCAAAACATGGACAAGTACAGTTACGAGGAAGATGCGAGCATTTTCCCTGATAGTAGTTTGCCGATCTGTCTTTCTTTGGTTTGGGTTAGTGTGTCCCATGTATCTCTCTTGTTCTTGTTTCTTCATCACAGCTACTATCTTGGCATCCGTAGATGTCAGTTTATCTGGCAGGTATCACTGCCAGCTAGCATTAGAACAAGAAAATGAGCTTTAAGTTTCTCATCCGAGAAATGCTGAGTTATTCTAACTGCAGGATTCAAGGTATAACCTGGCTTGATTTGTCTTTTAATGTTCTCGTCACTGAGCAGGCACTAAGCACGCATAAGATCAGCCCAAAACTTTACCAAGCCCAGTATCCTATGTCCAACAGGAGCCTACAGCAGGTGATTTAAAAAATATGGGCAAGAAATAGGGTACTTGAATTGCTCTTTTCTTGCTGAAACCACTCAGCTTCTGGTGATCTTGTTTTGGCTGTATTGCCTTGATCCTCAGGTGAAAGGTAAAAATCGCCACTTGATAGCCTTCGTTAATGAAAGAGAAAACTGTGTTATAAGGAAGCAAAGAGCTGACTCCTCTCCATCTCTCACAGAAGGACCTTTGCACCCCTCTGCACCTGTCACGGAAGATTTGCTGAAAGTTTCATTCTGGACTCCTTTGTTATGGTGTGGGGCAGGAGGACAGCCGGCTCTAACCCCCAGCGGTTTCTGCCGGTCGAGCAGTAGAGACATCCCGATCGGTCACACTGTGCAGGTACACCATCCAGTGCTGCAGCGGGCCTGATCTGGAGCAACCAGGCTGCTGCTGCCATTGTGTGATTCATAGCTGGAAAAAGCAGGCTGGCAGAAAACATTTGCCAGTCCCCCAAAGCCAAGCCCAGTGAGCACCACCGACATGTTCCAACGCCTGTTTGTCAAGCCAGAAATATCACTGGAGTACGACGTGTTTGCTGCGGTCCCTCCCAGGATGATGTGAGCCGGGAAGAGGGAAGGCAGCGCCAGAGGAAAAGGCTTGGCCAATGTGTAGTTTCTGGCGTGTTTTTATACACATGCTAAGTGCCACCCTTCACGGCTTCCCTTTCTTTTGGGTGTATTTGTTAGGGGAATTGTGTGAGTAAGAAGCGAAGTTTCTGTTTAAGCAATAAATGGGAGACGTCGTTTCTTGCAGGGCTGGCGCGCTATGCCTGCAGTATGTGCCAGGCAGACCTGCGGTGCGTGACCAGGAGCGGAGCGCAGTCCTGCACCTCCGTGAGCTCCAGCCCTTTCCAGGAATCTTTCCTACATGCTCCTAAACCTCTGCTTATTCCTCTAAAAGATCTGTGCTGGGGGGCTAATCACCTCTCAATTATGCTGCTAGATAGCTAACAGCTCTCCAGCTTCCAAATACCTCCGTTATATGACAGCATGTAGCCTATGCCTACTTCTGCCCCTGATTTGCCCTGGATCAGGGCCGTATCAAACTCTTGGGATAGTCCTTTTCCACCGCTTCTCATCCTCCACTTGCTTCAGCTTGATTTTGTCCTGGAATAGGAAAGAATATAATAAGTACAAGAGAGCACCAACTGCACCTCTGAATTGCAGTTAGCAGGGTAGTTGTGGTCCGAATCCGCCTTGCTCAGATACCTACCTCGTCTGTAGGTAATGAAGCCACATGGCTTCTTTATGTGCAGGTCCAAGATGCTGTGATTTCTTTTTAACACAAAGTTGCCCGATTACAGCTCTGTCAGCTGTGCTCCTGCAGGCTGCAGCCATGTCTCCCACCTTTAGTATAAAGCTACTCAAGTATTTAGAGGCTCTTCATGGATACCTAGGACAATGCTACAGTTTTCATTTCTCTCTAAATACTAGGGTCAATTAGATTTGCGTGGGAAGGGGGATCTGGGAAGGATAAGAAAAGGGGTGGGCTGTCTGTTCACAGTGAAAGCCGAATTAATGTTTGGGAGTGTCTGCGAAAGGGAGAGGGAGCCTTGGGGTAGTAGCAGAGAGGTTGTTCACGATCTCAGTGCAAACTGGATGAGGAGTGGATATGCAGTAGGTAGATCTTCGGCTGAGACAAGCCAAAGGAGGAGATTTTGCCAAGAAGCAATGCTATGAGATCAGCACTCGGCATTCCTTATGGGCGTGTGGCTTCGCAGCAATATTGCAGGGACAAGCCCACCAAGATAATAACAACCTAATTTTGGATTCACAAACTCCCGAATAGGGTTGGGCATTTTTATTAATGAATAGTATAGTCACTTAAGAATCCAGGTTCAGCAGATAGTTTTGGCGAGGAAAGAATGGAGGGTTGTAAAAGCTGGAAGTTGCCCTTGATTTTCTCGTCTGAAACAAGGGCCCATCCCACAGCTTACCTGAAAAACTTTAGAGAGTGAAAAAGGAAAAGAAATGTTTCTGATAAAAATGTAATCAGGTGCTGAATTAACATGGGTTCTACTAATGTCAAAACAGTGGGTCCATTTTGAGGGGTTTTGCTTTTTTTGTTTGTTTGTTTACAATTTAAAAAAAAAAAATTGGCAGAATCTGAAACAACCAATTTTTTTTCCTGACTTTTAGTTTGTGGTTGGTTTTGATTCATCTACAGCACTAAACAATCAGTGCTCTGCAAATTCCTAACCTTAGAGCATCTCTGAGGCTGTACATTCAGGAGTTTCTCCTTGCTGCTTTACTGTGGTCATTTGAAGGAGGGGCCCAGCTGCCATCAGAAACAAGAACTAACTCGTGCTTCTGAGACAGGCAGTAAGACGTTCTCTCTGCTGTATCTTAGGGGAATAACAGACATCTCTACCAATTGAAATTTGTCAAGAGCCCTTATGTTATACTTCCACTTGACAAAAATACCAAGGTTCACCCAAGCAGCCTCAGCTGCTCTGAGTTCTGTAGACTCCAGAAGGTCTGTCCCACCTGAGTGGCTCTGGGCATTTTTGCTAAGGTCTCCTCCACCGCTTTCCTCCCAGGCCCGGAAGGACGCATCTGTCATGGCCAATCCGAAGATTTACTGGTGTGGAGAACACACCCATTTGATTTTTTCTATCCTTGATGCTGATGGCTGTGACACTGTTGTGATGCTCTCCCTTCCGCATAACTTCAAAGTTTTTTATATCAGAACTACTAATCTGGTTTTCCCCCTTTTCATTTCTTCCAAGGGCTTGTTGTCTTCAAACAGTAGCTGAAGGGGAAGGCGCTTCTGAGAACCATGATGTCCCTGGGTGTCAGTAAAGGTAATTCCTTTCCCCGTTCCAAGCTGTTGGGGATCTGTCCACTGTCATGGCTTTCCTTTGTCTTCTTTGCTCAGTTGTATCTGCTGTAATGTCTCTGCTCAACTCCCTCAGTGCAGTGTGTCCAAGGGTAGAGGACACCTCTTCCTTGTCTGGGACCTGCTCCAACCTGCAGCTCCAAAATTACGTGCGTTTGGCTATAATTTCAGTATCTGTGAAGGTATACAGAGCTGGAGAGCTTATAGCCTGACTGAGGTTTTGAGATGAGCAAAAGACTAATAAACTCCCGTATTATTCTCTCTTCAAGACCCTCCTTAAAATTCTCTGTCTTTGAAATATCTACTGAAAATACAGCAGGAATGAGCAGCCAGTGCAGCAGCCGACCAGGATGGCTTCTCTGTATCTCCCTCTACCCACACCCTCTTTTTGTCTCTTCTAGAGATAAAAACCAAAAGCCTGTGGGCTGGAGACCACCCTTGTGCAGTATGCAATATCCATACAGTAATGAGAAGACTGCCTTTATTATTAATAAACTCCTAATAATGTCTTACTATCAAAGGAGTGTGAAAAAGTCATACTGGGGCTACAAGTTGCTCTGAGTTGTCCCAGGAACACACCCAAGCTGTAGGATTCTGTGGCAGACTCTGAGATTTCATTTTTAAGCAACAGATGCTCACAGGACCTTTAGATGTGTATAGATGCGGTGATGCTTCCAAATCCGTAGGTAACCTGAAACAGTAATGTGGAGAAGAGTGGAAATGCCTTATTTCCACTAGGCCATAGATTTAACTTTCAATTTTGGTGCTAAGAAAAGCAGCCCTTCCCTTTCCAGGTGCTGCCCATGAAGAGTGTTACTGCTGGTCCCTAAACTGCACCCTGACGTAGATGTGGCCCTGCATAACTGTGCCTTTTAACTGCTACTGCTAATTCCACATGAGGAAGGACATTCTCTTCATTGCTATAGCTGTGTTTTCCTTAGAGATGATCCAACGTGACCAGTCATTTAATAATAATAATAATAATAAAAAAAAAAAAATCCTACCCCTACTATGTAACATATACTTGAAGCACATGACCGTGTGTCAGAGATTAATCAATTTACTGCATGTCAGCTGCTCAGTGATAACTATTTCTGGGCAGCCTTCTAGCCCATCACGAGCACAAGATATAGAGACCCTCCTTTCCTGGTAGCTAAATGGAATTATTTCCTGTTTGCCACAGGCTAAGTGTGCAGGCAGGCAGTTTCCTTGGCTTAGATGATAAGAAGTTGCAAAGCTGCAATAACTTGTTGGTGTCTCTAAACCCCTGAGCTGTATTGGTCCAAGTGTGACGACGAGAGCAGGCTTGATGTTTTCAGCCTTTACCAGTCATTTCCAAAATGGCAAAAGATGGAAGATAGTCAGAAATACATAGAGATTTCCTTATCTGGTCTTCATCTTACGATTTCCCCATGGGAAAACAGCTATTTCCCCCAGAAGAAAATGCTGGATGGGGAATTTCCCAGTTAAAATGACTTTTTTTTTTTAAAAATAATATCCAGCTGCAATCTGTTTGGTCCAGCAGGACTTTGGCACTCAAGGATGACTGAAGCCCTTCACATCAGTCACCTGCACATTTCCTGCCCTTGTGAGAGGCTGCTCCCCCTTCCCCAGCCTCCCATCTCCTTCCCTGCCTGCTCCCAAAATTTTTGGCTTTAATACTCCTCCCCATTAACCTGTGCTTTTTTCACGCAATCTTTTTCCCACTGGGAGGACTTGCCAACTCCTAATCCATGACCTTCTGCCATTTCCTACATTTTAATTTTATGTTTTAATTGCCATTGCTGATTTTCTCAACCAGAGAATGTAGTTGTGGTTCATTGCCTGAACAGAGACAAGGAGCAGAATGAGGATGGTGGCAGAGTTGCTGTTGGATAGCAAAAGAGAGACCATACAGGATAGGACATTTCCAGATTCGGGCCAGAACCACACCATTAGGGAGACATGGTTTGAGAATATGTTTCTGAAACTGAACTTTGTAATGGAAATGTGGAAATGAGGAACCAAAGGATGTGTCTCCTCCAACTCTGACAGGCCACCAGAGAAAGCTGACAGCTGGGTGTTTGCATTTTATGGCTTACCTCTATCGCCCAACTCTTGGCTCAGCTTCATGCCCCAGACGTATCGTCCTCTCCCATAAACCAAAAAAGCCTCATGCTAGAGCTGATGTGATGGGAAATGCCAGAGGAAACTCACTGCTTTGTAAATATGTGATTAGACCACCCACTGAATGTCTTTGGTCTTCCTGAGAGAAAATGACTCATTAATGTTGAACAGTCCTCTGAAAGGAGAGAAGAAGCTGCATGAACCTCTGTAGAGGAGGTGATGCATCAAGGTAAATTGATCCTGAAGTTTGGATGACAGCTTGTTTCCATCTTCCATCAGAAGTGGCAAAAGACTCACTCAGTGTTTGAATCTCTGACTGAAAGGAGACCTGTGCTCCCTGCTGTCTGCGATTTACCCCGGCTCACCTGCTGACACTGAATTCTTGCCCTTTCTCAGCAACCCTTCTCCTCTCTCCTTCCTTTCCCTCTGCCTCTCCTAGGACGTGTCATTCCATCCACTGATGAAGACCGCAGGAGGATCATTAAGCAGATGAAGGTTCGCACCACCCTGAAAGGAGATAAGAGCTGGATCCACCACCATAACTCGGACTCTGAGGATGAGAACAAGAGCAGCCCGCTGTAAGTGTGGCCACCGAGGAATGCTCCTCTTCTCCCTTCCCTTTCCCTTATCAACCTCCCATGAGTACTCTGTTCTCCGGCCTGCAGAAGAAGCACTGTGTGGTGCTAGGATGTTTTGGGGTCCCCATGATGCCAGGAAATGACACTGCCAAAGGGAAGCGGTGCTCCTGTTTAATTTTGATAAATGCAGGCTGGGGAGAAGCTCTGAGAAATGGCCTTTCCTGGGAGCTGGGAATCCAGCAGCACAGGCAGATTTGAAGTCTCAGGAGAACTCCAAAGTTTTTTTTAAGCCAGATTGTGTTTCACCATCTCCGGAGTGACAAATGAAGGGGCAGACCTTGATGAGAGGGAGTTTAAGTGATAAAACAGCCAGGTCTGCATCTCCCCCTGCAGCTCGCAGGGCTGTGTCACAGAGCCACCTCTGTACCAGGGAACACCACAATCTGCACCAGCTTCTCTTTAATTAGAAACAAAACCAAGCCCAAACTGGTCTTCTCTTAGCAACTCTCTCCAAAAACTGCCATGTTCAGCAAGGCAGCTCAGCAAGATCAGAAGTTAATTATGTCATTGTGTTTTCTCTTTACTCAGGTCTGGACGGGCCGGTGGGGAATCCCCAGCCTCAACGCCTAGTGCTCCCCAGAGTGACAGGTAATTTTGGGGACCCATCCTGTTGCTTCCCTTCTGTGTTATCTCATGGGGTCGGTGCATGCTTTCACTGGTTCTTCACAAATGTCTGCTCTTTCTTCACCTCCTCATACCCACTCACTGCTGCGATTCTGTTGAACAATACAGTCCTTGAGGAGAGCCTGCATTGTTCAGTATAATGTCTTACAAACTGTGACCTTGTTGAGAGCGTGTCTTATCTCCTGCAAAGTCCAGATGGATAAATGGGTGCCTTCAAGCCCCTGATCCCACAAGATTACTGGTGCACATCAGCTCCTGTGCTGGTGCAATAACTAAGCCTGGGGGCTCCTCAGAGCAAGCAAAGCCCCGTGTGCGAGCTGAATTTGCTTCAGGGTCAGAGCATGAGGGCTCTTCAGGAACCCAGGAGCTTGTAGGACTAATGTCCTAAAATACGAAGCTGTTGGAAACGGCTTAGTCATATGTGAGAGCGCTTTGCTAGCTGCAGTACCATTGCTGGGAGAGCATTGCCCTCTCCCATGAGCAGTTTCCTGCTTCCTCTCCCTTTTTCTGTGCCAGCTCTTGTCACTTCTTGTTGCAATTAGAGAGGATGGTTTCCCTGCCATGCCCTACTTCTTTCTGCCTCCCTCTGCAGCATAGTGCTTTATCAGGCACAGGATAAGTAAAAACAGGGACATTTGTGACATTGGAAATGTGGCATCTGAAGGGGCCTCTTCACACAAATGTGTGAGGGCCTGAAGTTGACAGAAGGTGAGTGACAGGCAGTCCAGGACACTCAGGATCTGTTTACACTTCAAAGTGAGGACAGGCATTCATACGCCAAGCTGGACAACTTCTCGGCTTCCCTGCAGCTCTCATTCAAAGCTCAGCGCTCAGGGAACAGCTAGGCAATGGGGCTGAGATGGGCTACACCCTGCTGGTGCCTGCTCTGAGGATACTGCAGAAACAAGAGCTTGGGGCTGTGCTCAGCAGTCATTGTCCTCCAGCTCATCCCATCCAGAGAGCTCCAGAGCTAGGCTAAGCCTGCGGTGAGTTTGCATTTCTGTGTCTGTGAAGGCAACCAGATAAATTTGGGCTTGGCAGACACCTCAAGCACGTAGCGATGGGCAGCATAAACCTGCCTCCCTGCTAAGCTCTGACCTGATGGCTGACCCTGCTTGGAGCAGGAGGTTAGACCAGAGACCTGCTGAGCTTTCTTACTGAATTATCTTGTGATCCTAAGGGCACCTGGACAGACAGGAAGAGAAGGAGTGGTATTTGGGCAGGGGTGAAGGGAGCCTGTCTGAGCTCATTTGATGGGAACCGGGTCCTTGAGGCCCATCCTGGTCCCCACCTTGCTCTCAGGAAGACGTCTCCAAGACAGCTTGAAGCAGGTTCCAGGGATGCTTCATCCTGCCCTGGTGCAAGGGGCCAGATACCTGTTGGTATCCCTTTCCTTTCCCTCCAGGGGTGCTATGCCGCACTCCCTTCCTGAGAATGGACCCTCAAAGGAGTCAGTGTAAAGATGATGTTTTCCTGTGATAAAACAACCAGGATCTCTACTATATCTAATTTCCCCACTCTATACCATCAATCTGTGGACTTAATTTTGAGCCAGAAAACACTGTCAGCATGGCTAATTTTAATTGGCTAACTCTAAAATTCACTTTTCTTATAAAAATCTTTTATAGAGCTTGTTCTGATGATTATTCATTTTTAAAGAATCCTTCCAAGGTTAATTTTGGTGCAGCAGCTGAGGTATCACTCAAGGCCCATTTAGCTAGATTTTTGGCTTGACAGCCACGTGGATGTTTCCCTTTAATAGTGGAGGTGCTGCTGTTGTTTTTCGCCACGTTTCTTAATTCACTAACGTCTGTTCTTTGCACAGGTCTCCTGCCTCCAAGCCTCAATCCGGTTACCTCATCAGGTTGGTATAGAGTGGCATATATTTGGGCTGTAGGGGAAGGAGAACTACATCAGGAGCAGCAAGCATGAAAAATACTACTGTCTCTTGGGTAACTGTTAGTTAGGAACATTACAATGCTCGGGGCATACCTTGGTGAAGAGATAGTCTGGAGTGTTTTGTTTAACAGGTAGTTTGATGGTTAACAGAAAATCAGATCTCCTCTGTATGATACAGTGATCACACACGGAAGGATTATCGTGGTATGAAAATGTTCCACCATCCTTGTGATCAGCACAGCACCAGCGATGGGGCTTGTGTGCTTCAGCTTCCTCTGATGCGTGGGCTGTTTCCCACGGAGACTGATGCCACCGTAATCCCAAACAGGTTGGCAAGCCCTGTGATACCGTACCCAAGCCTGTGTGTGAGCTGATTTTACCGTGTTGTCTAAGGCCAGGAAGTAGGAAGATGGGACTTTTCTTGGGATGACTCTCCCAAGGAAGGACCTTCTAATTCTCAGTGTCCTGAGCCAGCACCTTCCTCCCAACAGGGGACACAGACACTGTTAGGCCAAAGAATGGCTGCAGGCCTCTTAATTTTAGTTCCAGACTCTGTCCTGCAAAAAATATAACGTGTCTCTTTTCTCCCCAGAGGGGTGTTCACAAGAACCATCGATAAGACCTCTTCTGTGCCAGATTCCTCATCTTCTAATGAAGCACAAAAAAGGTATGTGTGTGTCTTCCTCTTCTTCATGAAAATGAGCTTTTAAATATTGTATATATTTCTAGTCATCCTTTTACTTTGGCCAGTGCTTGTGGGCTTCCACTGAGCTCCACTAAATCCCTACTAAATGCTGGAAGACGTGGCTGTTCATTTAACAGCTCCATTCAGCAGACGTGGGAAAAAGACAAGGTATCAAACTCCGTATTTTCCTCACCAGAGCATGGGAGGGCAGTTGGCTGTGAAAGTACTCACAGGTTTGGGTTTAATTTGGCAAATAGTTTTGCGTGGGGGACAAATCACAAGGAATCCTTGCAAAGCTGTAACGCTCCATTTTGATGTTTTTAATGTGTGTTTTTTTGAATCACAAGGAATCCTTGCAAAGCTGTAACACTCCATTTTGATGTTTTTAATGTGTGGTTTTTTGGTTCTTGGGGTTTTTTTGGGTTGTTTTTTTTTTGAAACTTGTCTTGTGAGAGGCACATTTCATTGGGGTTTGTTTTTTTTTTTTTTTGAAACCTGTCTTGTGAAGAGGCACTTACATTTCATTCTAGTAAGTGAGATCTAAGCATGGCTCTGATCTAAGCAGATGCTTTGTTGCACCTCAAGTGAAACTTTGAAACCCCATTTTTTCCCCCTGTTTTGATTCATCTGGGGAGAAGGATGATGACACAAGGTGTCGTCTTCCTTCTCACTGGCTGATCCTGGGACGGAGTAGCACCATCCCACAGAAGGCGATCTGGCTCTGACAACTCACAGTGGCCCTGGAGAAGCAAAGTAGACCTCAAATCCTAGTCCAAGGCTGTGAAAAGAAGGCAAATGCTGCCCTTCAATTAAATAGCATTCCCTAAATTCAGAGAGTGGATCTTTGGGATCACCCTATTTTCCCCCATCACGTGGAGCATGAGCTCACCCAGGGAACAGGGTGGTGAAGGGTGAGAGCTCAGGAGGGCCATGTTAACAGACGTGATTTGTGCCATCTGCAGCACTGCCGCGAAGGGACACAGCCTGTGCCGTTCTTCCTCTGGCTACAGGATGACCACTGAGGATTACAAGAAACTGTGAGTGTGCAGAGGGGAGCAGCACTTTCTGTCCGTGCACAGGCTCAGCAACACCCGAGCCTCAGTGATGAAGCCACCTCCACGTGGATGGCCAGGCATGGCTTCATCAGCTGAGCACCGCAGAGCTTTCAGTAGAAACTGAAGCAGTTCCCGGTGCTACCTCCAGGCCTGTGTGGGCCATAAGGTGTTCCTTGAACTGGTAATGGCCTTTGTATGGAGTGAATTTTATCAGTTGGTAGTAATTAAGGCAGAAACTGGAGGATGCAGCCTAGGGACTTGGTTTGCAGCAGGGCTGGCCTTCCTGAAACCAGGAGAAAGGAGGGAGCTTGTGGCAGAACAGCACTGCTGATGTTTCCTACACAGCTTTTCATGTCAAAGACTGTGGCGCTAATCTGAAATGCAGCTGAACGTTTATTATGAACCAGCCTCTAAGAATCATAGAATAGTTTGGGTTGGAAGGGACCTTTAAAGGTAACCTAGTCCAACCCCCCTGTAACCCCTATACTAAGAAAACAGAATCCTATGGGGACATGTGTACCCCAATGTGCACAGAAAAATACAAGTGTCTTCCACACTTGTCTGCAACACTTCTAGGGTCTGAACCAGCTTCCACATGCCCTTGGGTTTTGCTTGTGCTGCCTCTGCAACAGACTGCAGAGGCAGGTCCCTTACCCTGGCTCTCCCCTTCCCTTTCTATTTCAGAGCTCCATATAATGTCAAGCAAAAATCAGTGGACTTGGATGAGAAGGATGTGCCTTTTACTCCAGATGAACGTAAAAAGAGGTATGGCCTCCAGGTAACCACCTTTTTCTTGCAGGGGCAGTGACAAGTGGACTTACTTCAGTTTAACTGTTCATTACTGGGAGGGTCAGCTTGATGATGATTACAGCTGAGCCATTAGGGCTGATTGCAATAAAATAATAATAAGCAGATATTTCCACACAGAGCGCATCTATGCCCGCAGGCGACTGCGCTCCCAACTAAATATAATTAAAAGCCTGACATGATTCAACCTGACAGCATACCCCAATTAATTTGGCAGCTGGAAATGGCTTGTGGAATCCATCAGCTGCGTAGTGTCTATGTGAAAAGATAGAGACGCACAAATAGCCTGGCAGTAAAGGGAGGAGCCCACCTCCCACAGCCTACGTGCGCACCTTTGAGTCTGGACCACTCGGGGACTTGCATCTAAGTCCAGATCCAGACGGAGTAGAATGCGTCTTGTCTGTGTGGTAGATCTGCATCTGATGCAGCCAGTGTCCTTGTTGCTTTCAGTCGAGTTTCTGAAGATACTTTTCCTCAGATACAAGACTTTTACAAATGAAAACTTGGTAATTTGCCCACTGGGGATGAACCAATAAAAGTCCTTTCAGAGATCTGCACTTCTCCCTTGGTACATCTGGTGGTACTGATGTCTGTATAGACACGTGCAGTCCATGTAGCATGCCAGCCACAAAGCCTGTATCCCCTTTTTTTGTCCCGCGGTATGCAATATTGCAACAGTCCAGGTCTTGAAAAGGGGAACTCCCTCTGCCCTCCTGGAAGAGGAAGTTGTTGGGGTTTTTTTGCCTGATGCTTTATATCCATGTGAAAGTGCTGTGGCCCAGCATGAATGATACTAAAGAAAAAGATAAGACATTGTTACTCCTCTCAGCTCTGGCTGGATTTCTGCTCCCCAGAGCATGGGAGCTCTGTCAGGGTTAGCACAAGCCTCCACTGGGTTGTTCACCTATTGCCTCTTCAAGGCTACACCCAGCAGCCACTAACGGCATGAGGAGAATGTGAGCCCTTCCCTCCCTTCCAGGACAGAGGCAGCCAACAGTGTCCTGAGATGCACTGCCAGCAGAGAACGTGCTTACGTCCTCTCGGCGGCCAAGAAAAGCAATGGGTGAGTCTTCAGCGTGGAAGTGTGGGGCAGGAGACAGGGAAGAGGCTGTTGAAGGTGGTCTCACAGGGATGGTGGCCTGACTCAAGACTCTCTGAAGGCAATGGGCACCTTTCCAATGAGTGGAGAAGATGTAGCTGCCGTCTCTTTAGAAGTGCCAAGGGTATCTGCAGGTTTCTGCAGAATTGGGGAAATCCTCCAGGAGTCTTGGGAAGTCTTCCTTACTGAGAGGGATGAAATTTAGGAAGAGAAAAACCATGAAAGTCCCTAATTCCCTGGGGCCCGCAATCAAGACTTCAATTTTCAGACTCAGTTCTTAATACTGCTCTCTCCAGTTTTGTTGCATGTAAGGGGAAAATCAGAACAAATATAAACTGCATCTAATATGGATCAGCTTTTTGTGACAGTTTGCCTTTACATTGTGTTTGAACAATAGCTAGACTTGCAAGATCCTGATCTTAGTTGCAGCCTCAGAATAGTTCTGTGGGGAAAAAGAACCTAACAGGAATGTGTGGATGTGTAACAGGAATGTGTGGATGTGTAACAGGAATGTGAAGGATGTGTGGGAGCTACTGGTGTTCAAGGCTCTGTTGTCCATCTCTTTCCTGGGAGGGGAAAAAAAGGCAGATTTCCAAGGTCTGTGATCTCCCAGCAGCCATGATAGTGACTTTTTTTGCAGCTCGCTTTCACTATAAATCCTTTTCCTCTTGACATAACTCAGGGTGACACAGTGAGGCACCAGGAGGTTGCTGGTGCAGGAGGAAGCAGGGAGGGGATGCACCAGCAGCACTCAACTGTGCCCAGAATGAGAGAAATGCTTGGAGAGGATTTGTAAGGATGTTGAGGGTGTTTGCACTGGCTGCTAGTTCCTCTGGTGCACTGAATATCGTGCGGTATGGAGGGAGGCAGGTTTGTATGCAGGAAGAAAAACAGCTGTCAGAAACGTATAAAATTAAAAAGAGCCTTTGGGGAAGGTTCTTTACTTCACATGTTATAACTAGCTGCTCTTCCTATTTTTATTTCCTCTGCTCTGTAATTTGTACATGTTTAACACACCCAGTCGCTGTCAGCTCTGCCCAAATGGTGTTACATGACCCCTTAACGCTTTGCACCATATGGGTCAATTATGGGTCAGAGACTCTGTGGGAGCTGCCCCTGCCCAAGGTGTGTCTCTACCTCCAAACTTCTAACTGTTGCCTTTACGCTTCCTTTACAGCAGCCCAACACAAGAATTTCCACCCTTGTTCGCCAAGAGGTAGGTCACTGACCCTCTGGAAGTACTGCTGAGGTTGTGCGTCTGTGTACTGTACCAGGGCTGCTCTTAAGTGCTGGGATAGGAGATCCCCAGGTGTTTCAAAGCAGAGGAGAGACACTTCCCTTAAAAAGGATGCTCTGGGTTGAATCACGCTGGCTTTTGAGAGCCCACAGTGTTGTAAACACCGAGAATACACGACTGATGATGATGCTTTGGGTTATGGGCAACCTGAAACAAGGAGAGACTCATTCACTGCCTTTCTTCTTCCAGGGAAGGCTGGTTCCAACCAGCAGGGTGAATACTCTTCAGGCTTCAGGCATTTAACTTCCAAAGCAGTCGGTATGATAGGGAAATGATGCCTAGGGCGCTCTCTGGAATTTAAGCATTCAGCTGATGCTATTTGTAAAGCGACTGTGGTAGCAAAATGCCACTGATTTGGGCTGAAGATCTCACTTCATTCAGCCGGTTGAGATGCTCACCAGTAGCAGAGTACAGGGAGCATGAGGAGCAGGAAAAATCTGCCTCTAGGGGAAACAGAGGGAAAACATAGCTTAAGGGAAAACGAGAATAAACTGCCTGAATTAGCTAGCAGTGGGGAATAGGAAACAGTGTGATATTTGTCTCTCTTTTTGCCTTTTGAAAGAATTGAGATAGAAGAAGAGGAAGGACAGCAGAGGAGTCCAACTGTGTCTGGCTCATGCAGGTTTACACCAGATGACAACAGGTATTTACCTCATCCTGGAGTAGTGTGTTGACTGTCTTTGATTTTAGGGTGCACTGATTTGCCATCTTTGCAGATAACTGCATTTATGTGCAAGGTAGCAGCTATCTGAACACGACTAGGGATGAAGGTTTTTCAAAAGAGACTTCTCAGAAAATCCTGATTGCCCCTTTCTTGCAAAAAGGGAAAGATCCAAAATGAAAAATGAGGTCAGCTAACTTGGTGAAACAAATGGGCAGGCATGGGGACAGGGCCAGAGTGTCATAAAGTACCCAACTGACAGCCCTGGAGGGTGACAAACTGCTTTTAACTACAGGCCAACTCTAATGTGAGTTGTATGGTGTAAACCTGCCACTGAGCCCCTCTCCTGATCACACTCCGCAGCCCAGTCAGTCCTGTCTTCACAAGGTGCTCATAAGCCACAGGAATGAGCCTGGCAGCACTTCTGGAAAGACAACTCACAGGAGGAGTCAGAGCAGGTTTAGATGAGCTCACCTACCCATCAAGCAGCCATTAGATAGTAATGATTTTCTTTTACTAGCAAACTTGGCTGCGTGAACTGACCCCATCACCTAGACACGAAATACTCAATATCTCATTATTTCCAGTCCCCTGAGCCAGCTCTTTGCTTTGTTAGACTTTAGATTTAATTATTCTACCATGATAGCAACAGATAGGTGTGACCGGAGAGGCTTGAGAGGTTCATTATCTTTAAATTGATCTTCGCTTTGATGGGAAAAGTTAGCCTCATTTCAAGCCCCCAGCCCCCTTCACAGGCTACTGTGAAGCCCAAGTATATGCAGAGCCATACGGAGCCGTGGCAGACAGGCCAGAGCATTCTTGCCATGGTATGTGAGAGCTGGGGACAGGTTGTCTCTGGTGTAAAAGGGCAGCAGTGACAATCTCCCCTAGCCCACACTGGTCAGGAACAGCTGGCACATGGTGTGGGGCTGAGTGAGACCAGTATGCAGAAATGTTTGGCTGAAATGGAAATATTTGCCCTAGGAGGGAGAATCCTTCTCTGTTTTCAAGCAGATTCATTTAATTTGGGATTCAGCTCTCTCTTCCTGCTCTGAGGGGTGGCTTGATGCCAGGCAGCAGCATTATTAGCTTCTCTGCCACTCTGGTCCTTAGTGGGCCCAGCAGGGAGTCCAATAAATGAGGTCTTTCAGCCTGAAATGCTTTATTTTCAGGATGAAGGAGCTGCCTCATGAATTTTGGTAGCAATTTTGTGCCACTGTGGTGCAGGTTTGAGGCAAGGCTGGGAAGCAGTTACCCTCCCTTCCTCGCATATTACACACGTGCACATAGTGAAATCAATTTTGTGAATGCACTGAGCTTTAATCTATACATTTGGGGAAGTTGGTTTTTAGTGCAAACTCAAGCACTGGGGATAGAAACAGCTCCAGCTGTGTTAAATAGGAAAAGCCAGTTTCTAAAGACTGAGCCTTTCAGCAGAAAGGCAGATAGTAGTCACATCAGTGCAACAGTGCACAGGGACAACTGCGTGTGTGAGTCCTTGCACAGCAGGGTTTGGCCTCACTGCCCAGGAAGCAGACACAAGAGCTGTGGGCCAGAAAGCAGGATGTGTCCCCCCACAGGAGAAGGCACCTAAAAAAATCTTCTGTCTTTAATGCTTTGTTACTTTTTTTTTGTTGTTGTTTTTTGTCAGTACTAATGGGCTAAGAAAAACCACCGCTGGGTCTTCCTGGAATGAGCCAAAGACAACAGCAGTGTCTCCCTCCAGGTAAGTTTTATAGCACAGCCAGGATGTCTTGAACATCTTTTGTGGCTGTATCAGCCCACATGTAGGTCAGAGACTTCTGTGGGCACCCCTCTGGGAGGTGAAATGAAGCAAATTTGTCAGCCTTGTACATGGGAGACTTTTCTTAGATGCAGGCAGCTGTTTTAAAAAGGTTTGATGTCTGAAATCCATGTTAAGTCCTGCAAGGATCTGATAACATCCTGATAGAAGTGCACAAAACCTGAAAGGAAAAAACCAAACATGCTGAACTCTTTCTCGCCAAATATGTGTAGGGGAATAATTTTCAGTTGCTTTCAACTTTGTCTGTTTGATTGAATTCACGACTGTAGCATAAAAAATGTTGAGATGGTTTTCCACAGCACTGCAAACAGCGCTTTGGTTACTGACCTTGTTCTGTTATTTTTGTTCTTTGTGTATCATTGGCAGAAGGTAGATATTCCTGGCAATATCAGTATTTTTAATTTAAAAATTGCTTCTGAAAAGACAACTTTGTAAGTCAATGTATTGAAAACAGTGATGTTTGTTTTCCATTTTATTTATTCACAGAAAGGAACACTTCAATGCAGGAAAATTTTGGCCAACTGCAGTGGGGAGCTGGTTTGTTCAGGAATGACGGCTTTTTTCTTTGCCTTCTCTTGCAGCCCTGAAACAAGCAGTAAGAGCCAACCAACCACATCCTTGAGTGAAACTTCAGAGACAACCTCCACTTCTACTGAAATCAGGTAGGTCTGTTGGCCCTGCATCATCCTAAAGCTCCACTAAGGATAGCAAGGGGCATGCTGCAGTGGAGAGTTTGGCTCTGCTTGGTGGTATTTTCCCAGATACATGATTGTTCTGGACACAGTGCAGTCATGGAACAATAAATGCTATAGCATAGGGAATCTAAGAAAGCAGCACTTTACAAAAGCGTTAGCAATCTGGGAGGAAATACACCCAGATGGAAGCTGTGGACCTCCCACAGCTTGAACATTACTCAGTCCTTTCTGATGAGAATATGAGCCCAAAAACTGCAGACCTAAACTGATCAGGCTTTAATTTTAATCCAATCCCTGCACTGTACGTAGCACACTTCCAACAAGCACTTTGCCGTACAGTTCCTATGCCTCACGTTGTGACCCCTCATCTCCCTACCTAACCGTTCTTGCTGTTTTGCTTGCAGAAATGGTGAAAACAGACGGGCCCCTAATGGGAAATCCTCATCTGAAACTGTGTCACAGCATGGGAACGGGTAGGAAGTTAAGAAAGGCTGATCTGTGCTGCGGAACATAAGGCGTAACCCTGCTTTTTGCTCAGAAATAGTATATACCTGCTAGTGGTCTCAAACAGATGGGATCTTTCCAGTTATGGTCCTGGGCTGCACTCCAAGAGCATCATCTGCTGGCTAGGCTGCAACTTGTCAGTTTTCCCTACTCTTCCTTCACCTCCCTCAAGGGTTCTCCTCTCTGGCTCAGTCCCTAAAGAGCCTACTTCATGCATTTCTTTTCTTTTTCTTTTTTTTTTTTAATTACACCGCTCCAATTGCCCTCCCACTGCCGTTCCCTGGGGAGCTTCTTCCACCTACAACGGATGTGTTGAACTTCAGTTGCTGGTGGCTCCTGCTAACATTGGTTCTGGTCCTCTGCACCCTGTAGAAAGTCTGAAGGGGTGGCTGAACAATGGGAAAGTGTAAAAAGCTCTCTTTTATGGAGGAAAACCTAAGAAAGAAGGAACTGATTGTGAACCTAAAGGCATGGGTACAGGTGCTGGACACGTTAAGGGGCAGAGCTCTGACACTGTGTAGCTGCACAAGTGAGACAGGGAACTTGCAGTTCAGGGTAGGGAAGCTTCTGGCCCTCCTGAGAGAGATCACTCCCTCTTTGTACGCTTATGTCCAGTAGTCTTTATCCTCTGGACTGTACACAGGAGCATTTCAGATTTTTAAAACATACCCCATATTAGCAGGGCTCTTTTTGTTCTCAGTGTTACCACTCTGAATTTTTGGCTGTGTCTAGACTGCAGTAGGCGGAGTTGTACATGTGGCCTCACCTTTCGCTCTGTTGTGCTTAAGCACCTGTAGAAGGCTTGGATTCACCAAATGAGTTTCTGTTGCATATACAGTTAATTGCAACTCACTCTCCACCTCCATCAGTGAAGATAAAGCTAGAAATGTTCCCAAACCAATATCTCAGGCTGAAGCAAAGTCTAGAGTGCTTGAGAAAAGGTAGAGGCTGGACTATTGTCATGGTCATTCAACTGAGGCCCATAAATATATCCTTGTATGTCATTGCAGGGACAGCCTGATTACAACGCGCTCATTGTGCTTGGAGTCATTTGGGTCACGTAGCTGCTCCTAATTGTGAGGCAGTCTCTCAGAGAAATTAGAGGATGCCTCATTACTTAAGCCACCTAAAACTGCAGAGAGAGTAATTGGCAGGGAAGGAAGAAGACAGATGGACAGCTTGACAGGTCTGGGGGAGTGAAGGATGGGTGTAGGGTCTGGCTGGTGGACCTGTAGGAAGGCCTTTCTGGCCCATGAGCAGAGAGAGAGCAACTGTTGTAGGGTACTTACGCTCAGCCGAGCAAAGGGGTTAGCAGTCCCTCACTGCAGGGAGCAACACATCTCTCTAAGTAACCCATGAACTGCAGTCAGGCCCACTGTACTCGGAAGGTTGGCCCTTCCTGTCCCGATATATTGAGCTAGCCCCATTTTGTGCTCCTCCTAACTAAATGTTAGTAGGCTGTTCTAGGATGATACAATATCAATGCTGTCAGGTCATATTTCACGGGCATTTTCCTTTTTCTAGTGACAAACCTCTGAAGGAAAAGTCTGAGCCGTTCCCATGGGATGAACTGGCCCCCAGAGCAACCGTGGCTTCCACGAATGGAAGGTAGAGTTAGTGTGAAATTCCTTTATTGACTTGAACATTGTGCAAATCATAAACTGCTGCTCTTGAGCTGTCTGGAAACTCTGAATGGATATTTACTGATGGAAAAACACAGTTCAATCTGTGCTTTGCAGAACTGCAGCAGTTTCTCTAATATTTTATTTAAGAAGGAGGGAAAAAAAGAAAACGCTACCCTCTTCAATAAAATTGTTTGATATTTTGTTCCAGTTTTTTTCTTTTGTTTCCATAATACAAAAAACAATCACTTTTGTGGGTCATTTCTGCATTTTTCTGGGTTTATTCCCAAATGTAAACCAATTCTGGAATGTAATTTTTTTGTTTTTTACAGTATAGAGAGGTTCCCACCCAATGTCTCTCTAGGCCTCCAACCTCCACCTACCTAGTCACTTTTGCAACAAGAGAGCCCCTAAAAAAAGCAAAACCAAACCAAACCCCAAACACAAAAGGAAATTGCACAGCCTGTAAACTGTCTGGCAAACCGAAAGGTTTAGTGGCGAGGAAAAGCTGTGTCCTGACTCTAAGGTATTGTGGAAAGTAGTTAAAGATCCCATAACCACAGGCACCGCACTGTAGCTGAGCTGGTTGTTGTCTCCAAATGCCCAGATGAAATCCACCATCACGGCTCTGCTTGCCTTTTGTGTGTATGAGAATCACCTGCCCCCAGCCTTCCAGGACCTGTCCTTGGCAGGATCCTGCCCCTCCCGTGGGCACCAGCATTTCTGGCACACAACCAAGCTGATAGCCAGTGGATCTCCTTAGCTCGGGCTCCACACTCTGCTGCTCTTCACCGCTGCCAGTGGCCCTTGCTGGAGGCACACCTCCCGCTCTAGAAAACACTGGTTTAATTTGGTCCAGAAACCTCTGAGTTGAGTCTGAGGGTACTTCTCAGCGATCCACTGAAGGCGACTAAAACAACTCAGTTCCTGCCTGTTCCATGGCAGCATGTGGCAGTCTCTATGGCAGTCTGTTTCACAGCTTTTCTGGGGAGTCTGCACCCTCGCTGGAAAAAAAATTAGAGATTCACAAATCAAGAAAGGTTGCAACTGCGAAGAGCAGTGGCTGTGCTTCTGCCTGCCCGAGAAAGTGGAAGTGAGGAAGGAAAGGTATTGCTCCTGTGGTATGCAGAAGAGGAGAAGTTCAGTGAGAGCTGTTCACTCATGGGCTGTTCACTGCCCACAGCCTGGAAACAAGAAAACAGAAACATACGGTTTTGGATCTAAACACCTGAAGTTCCCCATTTTGTCAGCTCCCCTGAGACAAGGCAGAGGATGTCAGGGCCGTTCCTGCCCTTCTGTGCGTGCAGATGGAGGTGCCTGTGTTGCAGCTGTGGGCTGTAGGACATCCCACTGTTTCTGGGAGAGTCCTGGCTTGAATTTCCAGATGACCCCATACCACTGGCATCTGTCATATGTTGATGATGTTCAGAGTTACTAAATGCTCCTTTGTACTTCATACGCACTGAATTTCCCCAAAGTTTCTTGCCATTTTTTCTGTAGAAATATACTGAGGATCATCTCTGGGAAGTTTTAGGGATTTCCTCCTCTCTCTTTTATTAAATGCATAAGAAAATAATTGTAGAACATTACCTAAACCAAACCAAAGATGCTTTCTAAAGTTGGTGTCTCTCCTTTTCAGTTATCCTGAACATGCAGAAGCCAGCAATGGATTCTACCCACCAAAGTACGTGTAAACCTATTAACAGTGTAAAATTCACTTTTTCTTCTCGATTTAAGAGTGAGAGGAGTCTTTTCCTGTCCTAGTACTGCCCTAACAAATGTGTTCTGGGAGCAGCGCTTGCATGCACTTGCAAGGAGGGGTGGACCTGATCCACCAGCTCAAAATGGACTGAGATCTTTCAGCTTCTTTCCTTGCACTAGCGTGAGTTGGTTGGATTTGTGTCTCTGCCCTTCAGGTCTGCTGCAGGAAATTTACCGAGCTAAGCAGGAAGGAGGAAATGATGTTATGTTTGAGACAGGAAAATCTCATGTTTGATATTTTTGCTTCTTGCTCTGTTCTCCAACTTGCTAAGCTTCCTTCTGTGACCCACAAAACTCCCTCTCTTACCAGGTCCAACTCTGGTTGCAGGGACGGACCTGCAGATGCTACAGACAAGCTGCACCATCAGTACGAGACCTCTCGCTACCCAGATGATGCAAAGTCTGAACCTGCAAGGTCAGGGCCTGGTGCTGGTACTCACAGTGCTGCTCGCAGAGGGCAGATGGGGGAGGGGGGGGAGAATAAGTAACTCGTCCAGAGTAGAGTTGGAAGCAGAATCCAAATTGGGCAACAAAGCAACGGGAGCCAGAAAATCCTAGGTGGCTAAACAGTGGGAACAGCGTTCTTTCTGTTCACTGTTACATACCAACTTCCTTCTACAGAAGCAGCCTGGGAGCAGGTACAGCAGCTTTATCGTTGCTTTTAGCATTGATCTCAAAAGTGCCCTCATTCCACATGCTTTTTAGAGCGTGCTTGCTCCCCTGACAATGTCAGAGGTGCAGAGTCAGGAAAGAATTGCGGCTGTTGACACCAAACACACTAATCTCACTGAAGCTGCTTTCTTCACTTACTGTAGTCCATTATTTTGGGACTTGACTCCATGTATTGGCCTACCAAAGGACTTGAGGTGAGAAAATGTTGTCTTCAAACCTCCCAGCTGAGATGAGGAGGATCACAAGGTTCCCAGTAGGATGGTATAAAACCCAAGACCTAGAGCTGCTGCTAGTAATGTAGGAACGTCTTCCCCAAAGTTATTGATACTGTGCTTTGTGCCAGGTGCATGATCCTGTGACAGGCCAGAAAAGACGTGTCCAGCCAAGACATGTGTGAATTGAGGCCAAGTAGCTGCATTAGTTCCACTAACAGCCTCTATTCTTCTTGATTAGAGATAGTGTAAATGTTTTTTCTGAAGGCAAATCAGTTCTCTGAGAAAATTACTTTCTGTTCCCTGGTCTTATATAAAGTGCAGTGTTGTTATTTCATATAAGTCCCCCTTGAAGCCTTTGGCAAGCTATCAAGCTGTAGATTCCTTCCTGTTTTTGACAGGTCTAGCTTGCAGTCTGATGTCCCTTCTCCTCCTACTGAGAGTGCCCCTGTGCATGTGGAGGGGACAGAATATTCCTTTAAAGGGTAAGAGTGGGGTTAATTTAGTGGGCATATGAGTAATACTGAGGATTAAGGGAAATCTGAATGGACAGGCACAGAAAGAGGCTTCTTTTCACAGCTTTTGTCCCAAGGATGAAGGCGACTGTGCTGAGGTTTAAAGCGCAGCTTGCAAAATAAACCAAGAGGTTTGCATTGCATCTCTCCTCCATCTTTGATATGAGCCAAGCACCCCAGCTCTTTTTTTCCTCTTGGTGCTTGTGTGCTTGGTGGGGTTCAGTCACTACTTTTTCATTCGCTGATAATCCAGTGAAATGCTACAGTGATGCTGGAGTGGCAGCAAGGGAGCTGAAAGGCCGCTGAGATACACTGAAATGCAACTGTAGTCTAAATGTGGTCCCTAGAGAAAAATGCTGGTGCGGGACAGCGAATGGTAGAGATTGACACAAGCCTTGCCTGGTGAGCAGACAGTATTCACTAGTGCAATGATTCATGTGCCAGTTGTTAAAGATGTAATGGGCCTTTCTTTGGTTATCAGATCTGTCCTGGGCTACGAGGAGAGAAGCAGCACCCGAGAGAGCAGATACACGAGTCCCGAGGTCCCAGCATACAGCAAGCCTTGCAGGAATGAAGTGACGTAAGGACCTGGGGTGCTAACCCCATGTTTGCTAATGTGTTCTTTCTCATTGTTGAAAGCCTTGGAAATACTGATTGCACGATATCGAGCACAAGAACAAAAGCATAAGGGCCATTTGTCTAAGCAGCTCTAAACTGCTGCTCTCTCCAGCATCCACTGAAGTAGTAAATTTCCTACCGTGTTCACTGAAGACTAACCACACAGCAAATGCAGTTACATTTCCCCATTTCTTCCCAGCAGCCCCTAGCCTTGCTGCATGTGGCACGGTTCAGCTCTGATCTCCCTCCGGCTCCACCTGTCCTGTGTTTATGAGTCTGGACAGGGATGTCTGCTGCATCCTGTACCAGTCCTGGGGCGGGATATGAGTGTGCATCACCCACTTCTTCTCCCTTGCCTTCTGCAGGGAGAAGGCCAAGGCACAGAGCCAGATATGAGCTGGGGCAGTAGGACAATTGGGGTGCACTCCTGGGAGTCCATTTGCATGGACTGGTACAGCTTTTGAGTACTTTGGATTTTGCACCCTAGTGCAGAGATGGCAAAGGTCTCTCAAAACTCACAGGAAAAACAGCCAAACAACTATCATCATCATCACTTCTACAGCACTGTATGCCCTAAAACCTTAGGGGAGGCAGCCACAGTGCTCCCCTGGAAGGGTTCCTATCCCACTAGATAAGCAAACAGAAACCCAATGAGCCAAAAGACTTGCAGTGAGGGAGGAGTCACTTGACTCCCCCATCAGGAGTCTGCTGAGGAAAGAGAGGTTTTGCTCTGCAGTAGTTGTTCAGACTCCCTCTATTGCCACAGGTGATAAAAAAAAAAGATCCTTCTAGAAATGCTGAATACTTTATCCCACCCCTTTTAGACATCTCCATTGAATGCCTATTTCAGATGCTGACTGTACATGGATGGCTGAATTGCATCCTGAATTAGCAGCAGGACTAGGAATAGGCCGCATTTCTCCCCAGTCAAACGTTGTTCGGACATCCATGTCTTCACCATCCTTCCTTGCTGGCATGACTTAGGTCAGGTTTCCTTGGCTAATACTCCTTGTCTGGAGCAGTATTGTCAGGCAGAAAGCTCCCGATGGCCCTTCCGTTCCAGGGGAAAAGGTAGAGCTAAACGGAGCTGTTGAGCATTGAGTCTCATAAAGCACAGCTCCGATGCAGCCATTTCCCAAGCGATTCCCTCAGAGTCCACCTCTGTATGCTGGCATGACTCCTTCTCCAGTAGGTCCAACTCTTCTCTGAGAGACAGCAGCATCGTCACTTCAAAGGCCCAGTGCAAAGTCAACGTGCATCTTGAGAAAAGGGAGTCTGAGCTAGAAAGGCAAGGGGAGATGAAGCTGTGTTGAGTGGTATCATTGGATACACTGAATGAGTGAGTCTGGCTACAAAAAAACCTTCAGAGTATTGGACAGGGAGGAACATTTCAAATTCAGCCTCAGGTATTATCAGACACTGTATCAGATGTGATGCCTCTCCTGGCATACACATCCTGATGTATGATATAGCCACAGTAAATAATCCAATACTCTGTAAGTCTACTTTCATGCTAGAAAGCAGCATGTTTGTCTAGAGAAAACATAGTTTGGACTGGTATTTTAAAGAACTAATTTCAGCGTGTGAAAATGTTGCTGCTTGACCCATCCATGGAATTCCAAGCAGTTAAGCAGTGCTTTGTGCCGTGCTGAAGTCAGTGCTTCATTGTGCTGGTTACAGCTTAGCCCTTGGAATATCTTCCACCAAAGCCTTGTGACTTTCTTTCTTCTCAGTGTGCGCTGAACTGACCTTTCAGGCGTTTGTGCCTGCCAGCCACGAGTGGGGTTTCTTTTCCTTTGCCAGGTCTTCCCAAGATTTCAAAGAGGGGAACACCCCTAGAGAAAGGGGGCACGAGAGCACGCGGGCCTCAGATGACTATAAACCAGAGCTGATCCAAGAAGGGTAAGTGGTCAGTAGGACTCACCCACAGTATCTATTCACTTCGTAATTCTTTATGTCTTATTCTGTTCCCAGTGTAACTGAGACCACAGAACAGCTCCTCTGCTTTGCACCCAGGAGTGAGGGCTTTATAATGGCACATTACAGCAGGCAATCCCACCCATACCGATGGAAAAAGCCAGTTGGATGAGAGAGACTCACACCGTGTGTGAAGCCCAAGAGACAGTTTCTGCACTGACAGCATGTGACTTAGGTCCTTTGGCATCAGCATAGTTCCCTTGGTACTACAGTGGCAGGCAGTAGCTTCTGCTGCCCAGAGATCTCAGCAAGTACTGTCCAAGCATTTATGAATGCTGCAAAATCATGCATGAGTGTGTCCTGAGGTGTTAGAAGCATCTGTCAGTCCGAGGAATTCTGACACGAGTGCTTTCTCCTGTGCCTAACTCTTTCCTTCTGTGACAATCTCAGATGAAAGGCCTTTAGCTGCGATCCTGCAAGCTAGAATGGGATTTGTACACATGATTCCCGTCAGATCTGGTACCAGGGCAGTTTGGAATAGCTCTGGCCAAACAGTGACTCCTGCTCCCTGCCTGATGGCTCCTGTCTAGGGAATGGATGTCTAAACACCCCAGCATGTTTTTTCTCCACTGCCTTAAGCACAGGTCTTTATTTTAGGTTTTTGGACTCAAACAACCATACTGAGAAGGGACAAGAACCTCCTGACCATGATGTCCACCCAGAGACTCCCAGGTCGAAGGAACATACTGAACATGAACTCAGCATGACTAGGTAAGGAATCAGATAATTACCCTCCCTGCCTTTTCCTGTAGGATGAGGGTTAATTCCTTGTGTGTCTTCCCCCACATACATATGCTGATAAAATCTTCTCCCAGGCTCCCCTTTTGTGCCTGATTCTAGTGCTGCTTCTACTGAGTGAACCTTTTACCATGGTTTTATATGAAAGCCTGGGAGAAAACATCCTCGTTAGCTGGAGGCATCAAACACTGTCTAGCTGGACTGCCAGGAGTTGCTGCCTAGACCTTAAATTTGGAAGCAGAGACTGCCTCTTAGAGACATATGCCAATAAGCAACCTAATCTGGCATGGGGTAACACCTCCGTGGTAACGCTGGGTCTCATTTCCGAACTTACCCAGTCAGCATCAGGTCTCAGGCTGTACTCTGGTCACCCTGGCACAGGACCATTTGCCTTCCCACTGACCTGTGACTCCACTGGGTTTGCGGTGGCTGTCTCGGTGCCTTCAGCCTGCCTTGTGCAAAACAGTGCAGGGCTAAATGTCCAAATGGAAGGACTTTGTGGACTGATTTCTTTGCTTTTGTCTGTATTTTCCCCCTAAATTTGAAGAGTTGAGGCTCTTGGTCAAATTGGGCTTCCTTATGCATGTGTTTCAGTGAGCAACCCGTTCTTCAAATCAACTTGAAAACCAGACTGCTCTTCTCCCCCAGGTCCATGCCGTGCTCCAAGGACAGCGCTAGTGGGAGCATGGACATTAACAAGGGGATACCGCCCTGTGTGCAGAGTGAAGAAGTCACTTCAAGAAGGCAAGAGAAATAATGGGCTTGCTTTTTCTGATGAGAGAACATGGGGAATTTACTGCAGGTGGTTCTGGAGAAGGGACGGAGGATGCTGTGTTTGGGGTTAGGAGTCACCAAGCTGAGCTTTCTTCATGAGCGCATGGAGATACATAGTGAGTGGTGGGACAGCAGAGTGTGTGGTTAGTGAGGACTGTGGAGGAGGGAGCTCAGGAAGGGGCGCTGGGAAAAGCAACAGCGAGAGAGCAATGGCGTCAGTGTCCTGTCTTCCTGGGTTCTTCTGACAAATGGAGCTATCCTGGATGTACCACAAATACTCCAAATTGTAGTTCTTCATCACGCAGGGAGGCGGAAGGAGCTGTTCCCAGTCCCCAGGGACATGAGTGGAAGTTAGACTGCTGAAGAAAAAAGTTGCAGGGAGAAACCTTCCCCTTTCTCTCCAGTACCCCCCAGCAAAGTGACCAAGATGGATAAAACCCCGTCTGTGCCCCCAGTCCACGGACTTCCTTTGGATAAGCCCTCAAGCTTACCAAGTTACCGAGAGAAATGCAGAGTCCTGATCTGAGAGTCTAGTGCTTCCAGGTGCAGTGACTTTGGATCAGACTTACCAAGGGAGCAGTCAGGAGTGCTTCTGCAGCATCACTCCACTGAAGGACTTGGGAGTTATCTCCTGCTCTTTTCAGTAAATTGATTTTGAGCCTGAGCTCCTGGACAAACACGTCTTCTTTAGGCACTTAGAACATCCCAACCTGAATGGGAATCTATAGCTCAGTGAACATTAGTGTTTTGCCAGAAGTAAGAATTTAAGGTATCTACCTGTGTTGCAAAAGAATCAAAATAAATTGATCTTGCTTTCACTTGGGTGTCAGTACCCATCGTTTTCTGGCTTACCCCCTTGGTGAACTTGCAGGGATCGAATTAACGCTGGTGAAGGGAAGCCCTCAACTAGTAGCAAGTAAAGTGTAAGGGCTGCCTCCTCTTTCATCAACCTCAATGTTTCAGGGTAGGATCTTTGAAAGCATTTTGAGAATTAATTTCTTAGTCTAATTAAATCTAATAAAATGCAGTTTTGATGCAGGAATCCAAGCCAGTTTCAGATTTTCTACCGGGTATCAGAATTCCCAGAGGGGTTGGTGTGCACAAACATATAAAACCAGATAGAAAAAGTGAACAAACTTTCCCTAGATTAATGTAGACAGGTGTAAATCCAGGGTGGCTCTGCAGTGGGTTTATCTAGTGGATACACTTCTGAGATGGTACCCAAATGAGGCCAGCTCATGCTCTTAGCAGTCTGAAATGTAACGTAGAGGTACTGGATAACCCATAACGGTCATAACTAAATGACCAGAGTTAAAATGTCAAGTTTGGAAAGAATAAACAGGTAACTTGGGCTCATCAGGAGCTTTATTTTTCTTTCCTTTCAGCCTTATTTTTTTAAGAGATCTGTATTTTCCCTCTGGTTTTTTTCACATCTCTTTGGATTATCTGGCATATTCCCATGCAGGGATATTGTACTTTTCTTGAGGCAGGAGATTCACCAGGGGTTGCATCTACATCCTACAGTAATTCTATGCGCAGTGGCACTTCTGCAGACTATAATGGTCTTCTGTCTTGGCAGGCCCAGTGCTCTACCTAGAGAAAGCAGCATCACTCCTCCAGAGACCCAATGTGCAAATGAATCTGACCCATGCCGGGAAAGGTACGGAGCCAGGGGACGGGGCATGCTTTACTGCTGTCTCGCACATCTTGTGTTCTCCCTGTTCAAAGGCATTACAAATGCTCATTTCTTGGCTAGCGAATTCAGAAACCAACATAATCATGATGTTACTGCATTTACTCAGTTCAGAAACCAACATAATCATGATGTTACTGCATGTACTCACCGCAGTGGACAGGTTTAGACACAAGTGCTAAAGCTGCTAACAGGCTTTTTCCTCCCTGACCAGGATCACTCCGGCTTATGAAGAACAAACCTGCCCCACCACAGAAAGTCACCATGAGAGCCCAGGAGACTGGAGAGACAAAGAGCCTAACCCAGTGGGAGCCAGGTACAGTGGGACTATCCCTTTGTTTCTCCCCGTCACTGGCTCTCAAATCCTCATCCTTTGCCACTCCTTCTTCTTGATACAAACGTGGCTGAAGTCCTGGACCTATGTAAATTTGCCTAGTGTACACTAATTACATGATACTGACAAAAGGAATATTAGGTTTAGGATTCCACCCACATATGGTTATCGATATTCATTTCAGTTAACAAATTAACTTAGACGACCGCTGAATTTTGCAGCATTTCATTGTGCTGGGAATTCAGCTCATGAGGGGAAGTAGTATAGGCCTCTGCCATTTCCCCTGACCTTAAGAACCTATTAACAGCATGGTGTCCCAGGTTTTCCTTATTGCCAGTAGAAAGAGGCATGATCCAGCCTCGGCAAATTCTGAACACCTGTGTGAGCTGGTCATAGCAAATACAGTCACTGGCTTTATGGTCAAATTGGCTCTAATTTTTTAGCAGGTCTAACTTCAGCTCAAAAGAGAGTGCTCTCAGTGCATATGAGACCCAGCATCCCATGCCACTGTACGTGGACCGCCAGCCTTTTAACACCAGCGTGTCAGCACCCAGTCACAGGATACCATCCTATGTAGACAGCCAAGTATTCAGCACCAGAAGGTAAGGGTTTGGGGATGGGATGCAGAGACAGGGAAAGCTGCTGGCACAGAAATATTTGGCAGAAACTCTGGTCCAGGTTGTATGATCACTGCATCAAGAAGCGAGAACAGGATTTTGTTCTCAGAGGGAGCAACAGTATTGCCAGTAACACATTGTTCCATTGTATTAATGGAACAAGATCATTTTTGGACCTGAAGGGCTGAAGAAGGGATTCAGGAGATCTGAGTTGATAATTGTTCTGTAACACCGGAGAGCTTGGCAGGTTGTGTTCAGACCACCTACACGCTGCCTGGAAACCTGACAGATGTGTAGAGACCACATCTGCTTCTCCTCTGTAACTGCAGAGATGATGATTCAGGAGCAATCTGGTTTTTATTTCTCATGACCCTCAATGACATAAGAGACGAGTTGTACACTTACAACTACTATTTATATATACATCTACATTCATGTGATCTGAATGGAGCCTTCACCTCTTTTAGCATTTTCCAGAAAGTTGGTGTCACAAAGCTCTCATTTGCGTTTGGAGGCATTTGCAGACTAGGACTAGAAAAAAATGGGGCAGACCTTTATTGTACTTCATAGCCTGTTGTCACCCCCCGGCACTGTGTGATGCTGACATGTCTCTCTGCAGTGCAAGAAACTCGCGCTCCATTCCTGCCCTTGGGTTTATATCACAGCCCAAATGCATGTCTTGCCCAGAGCAGGGTTTTCCTCATCTTACGATGAGCTTAGCCTGTCCCTCTTTCTCTCTTTAATGCAGCATTGATTTACAGTGTTTTTCAGCATTGTTTAACATTAAGTTATACAGTTGCCTGAAGCTTTAAGCAGGATCAAAGTGCTGATATACAATAAAAACATAATCTGTGCCCCAGGGCACGTGCGAGAAAAGAATGACCATAAGCTATAAGCTCATTTTCTCTATGGAAAGAGCCTGAGCTCTGCCCACAGGTTAAAGCCATTCCGATAACGAGTTCTGTCTTGGAAAAGTGAAAATGTGCAGGTCTGATGCCCAGATGGGCCAGCTGGTCAGAAGTTCACACGTGGATGGTGCAGTTTCTCTATGGAAAGAGCCTGAGCTCTGCCCACAGGTTAAAGCCATTCCGATAACGAGTTCTGTCTTGGAAAAGTGAAAATGTGCAGGTCTGATGCCCAGATGGGCCAGCTGGTCAGAAGTTCACACGTGCAGATGGTGCAGTGGCGGTTTTGGTGGGCGCTGGGAAAGGAAACAATACTGAAGATATATCCATTTATGAACTGCTTCGGCTTTACTCTCAAGCGTTAGATTTTGAGTCTGCTTTCCTAGCCTCAGGGCCTTGTATGCATGCTGCAGCTGCAGAACCAGCACAGGTGAAATGGGTAGAGCAAAGGGAGAATGCATCACGATAGTGACTGCTGAGACAAAATATTAGTTAGCCAATGTGGGGACTCCAGTAACTCCTGGTACAACGTAATCAGGGCTTTGTGCTTCCTTGCCAGACCTACCCCAGATTACGAAGGGCGAGTTTATGATGGGAGAAGCAGCCCTAGGAACAGCAGATATGACAGCGCTAGTGCCAGGGGGCACTGTGAATTTAACCCCACAGCCGGACGGTAAGAAGTCAAAGGGTGGGATCCAGACTTGTTAACCCAAAGAACACCCCACTGCTCCATTTATTCAGTATCTGGAGTTTCCTGACCCACTTCTTACTAATTCTCTGGATCTAAGCATGTGCAGCGGTGCTGTTTTGCGTGGATGGCTGTGGTGCGTGGGTGATTTTGATGCTAAGCAGGGAGACATTTAGCCAAGATTCTCACCACTTGTGAGAATCCCTCACATGCTCAAGTTCAGTGCTTGAGATTGTATCACTTCCTTTCATAGCCACGACTCCTTTCCCAGAGATACCACCATGTCCATTTCCCAGAGAAGCCACAGGGTGCCATTCTACATGGACAGCTTAAACTATAACAGCACCAGGTAAATGGGTAGTCTCGATGGTTGTGAGGGAAACCTCCGTGAAACTGCTGTGGAAGAGAAGCTAGGAAGCAAAGCCAGGAGCTGAAAGACAGATGAATGGTTTCCAGGGAGTGGATGTGTCATCTAGAGGCACAGAACTACTCTTAAACCATTCCTAGCAAAAGCTACCCAGCACAGGGTTTGTGATACATCCACCTCTGGTCTCTGAAGATTTTTCACCATGTGGGGTGCCAGAACAGAGTGACAGGAGAATGAAGGGCTGGTTCCTGGCTACCCTCCCTTGACCAGAAATTGGCCTTTGCAGAGGCTACAGGAAAAAAGAGATCTAAAAGCAAAGAGAGATGTCGAGAGAGAGGATCACTATCTCCAGAATGTCAATGAGTAAATGACTGAACTGGTCCCAGAACAAGGCTGTTGGAAGGGGTAGGAGGTATCCAATATGGAATACCATTACCCTGGGCTTTCTGCAGTCCTTCATGGCGGTGTCAGTCCATCCACATGCGGTCTGACACTGTATGGAGGCACCAGTGTAGGTCTGAGTGTTGGATCTGTAAAGGGGAGTATGTTGTGGGTGTGAACGGGAGGCACAAGATCCTTGGGACAGCCCAGGACTGGCTCCAGGCAAGATCAGCTTCATCCCTGCAAGGCAAACTTAACATTGCAGAGTGGATAGGCAGAGCTGCTTTCCGAAGACATTTTAGTAGCCGTAGTTTTGCCACCTTCTCCCTTCTGCAGCTTTTGAAATTATTAAATTGGGGATGGTTATGCTGGGGATAGTTATGTTGGACTTTGGCCAAATATGTCCCCGTCTCCTCCTCTCCTGCAATATGTTGTGTGCCGTTTCTCTCCATAGCTGCTCCCATTCAGGCTACATGATTCACTTATGGTCTGTGCTTATTTGAAGATCTTCTTTGATCTTTTTCTCCCATGGCCCTATAAATGATACTTTTCCAAATCACTTCTCCAGGGAAGTAGTACTGTTATGTGGCAGATGTAAAAAGAGAAAAGAGCCTTTTTGGTCTGTGATAAAGATGAATTAATCTGTGGGGTTAAGGGCCTTAATACTGCACCCTCCTAACAGTAGTGGGAGGTCTTTTCTTGGCTGCCAGCTTGGATCATGTCATGGCTCATGCTTCCAGTGCCCATAGACTTTTCTCTATCTCACCAGGCTTCTCTCAAGTTCGAGTGAGAGGATCTGCAGTCCGATTGCCACCTTACCACACAACAGCCCAGCGGCCTCTGGGTGCCAGCCCGATTCCAGCATTGCCGGGTAAAGAGCAATGGGTGGTCACGATCCTCCCGCTGCGATACAGGTTTTGCATGCAGCCATCCTGTTTGGTGAAGGCAAGCCAGGCTTTGCTGCTTGGCATCTGGGCCACGGGACATTTCTCAGCCACTTCTGGCTAAGAGCACAGACATTGCCATCGTGGCCAGAGCCACCCAAAAGGGAGAGATGGGCTGGGTACTTTTCTCCAGGTGCCCTTTTTTAGAGACCAGGATGTAGCTCATTGTATGAGTTGTGTCTTTCCTCTTTAGCCTGGCAAAATCATGAATCCTCCATAACACATTGTAGCTGGAGGGACACGATGGAGCTCCTCGTGCCATACACGCTCATCACAGGTGTGGGGCTCTTGGAAGACTCTTTGCCTTGTTGTCAGTTGTGAGCAAGTGAGCAGCCTACACACAGCAAGTGTATCAGATTTCAGTGGGGCTGGCACAGGACCAGGATCTGTCATGTATTACAGAAGATAACATCCCATCACGGTGCAGCTGTCGACTCAGAGCTGTATTCTGGGATTTGTGGTTTCCACAGGCTCCACCTCAGAGGTGAAAACTGCTGCACAGTTTTACACGATTTGGAGAGGGGTTTCAAAGTGGTGAGAGGTCAGCGTAGGCTTTGATGGGCAATAGTTTGGGTCCTCCTGGCTTTGCTAACCACTGTCTAAGTAGGAGACTCTCATCTGAAACACTTGACATGGGAGGTGTCTATGCTAAGTTAAAAAAAAAGCTTTGCTTTTCGTTCCTTAGCTGTGACATGCCTTAGTTTGCTCATATAGGAAGAGAGGATTAATCGTAGCTTATAGGCAGCAATGAAAATGCACCATGGAGAAAGAGCCTGATTAGTTCATTTCATGGCTCTGGGAAGAGAGGTGGCGGGCACAGTGTCTCCCCTCGATCTGCGACAGAGCTGTAGACAGACAGACAGATGGGGGCATGTCACTTTGAAATCAGAATTTTAAAGAGGGAGGAATATGCAAGAAAGGTCAGCTCTGTAAGCAAAAACATCCCCAAAACAAACCAGTAGCAATTTATAATGGATGAAAATGCTGGAGATATTCCAGCGACAAAACAGTCACTGTAAGTAGTGCTGTGCCAGTAGGGTTTTAATGTTAATGGGCAGAACCACAAGCTCTCTAAATACTTATTGTGTGCATAATCCTGACAAGATTTGAAAAAGACTTATCCTTGCAAAACAGGGGATAACTGGATGAGAGAGTTATATTATCCATCCCATTCTTTTTAATTAACTTGATTTGTTTTGGTGGGTTAATTAGAGGGGTATATTAGGTGTTATTTAGCAACAATGCTTGATATTCAGTATTTATTCAAGAACAACAGCATCTCACTCTGTGCCTTTTCATGCAGGCATTACATGTCCAAGTGCACACATGTGGTCCCTGTCTCATTAGCTCCAGTCTTTTCTAATGCAAATGCTTCTCATTCTGTTTCCATCCATTCCTAGAAAAGGGGTCCTCTTTGTGAAGGAGTACGTGAACAGCAGCGAGTTATCGGCCTCCCCACGCTATGGCAGGTATGAGGAATGTCCAGAGACAGTCATGTGTCTACATACGTGTGCAAAGCAACAGCGTATGGCTTTGCCAGCTAACACACACCAAGCAAGCTCCTGAGCTGGAACAGTTAGCACTGCGTCAGCATGCCATTGTGCCTGAGCTAATTAGCCCTGGAGGGATTATTAAATTGGGTGGGCAGAGAGTTTTGCTAAGGCAGCAGTGCTGCTTTGGGGACCCAGACGGATATCTCTGCAATCCACTGGGCTGTCTAGTCCCGTTGTGGTGACAGGAGGACCTCTGTCCCACAACTCCTAGTGGAGGGGTAAACTCCCCCTCTAAGTGGGTTGGCCTCTAAGGTGGGTGACGGGATGAAAACACTACACTGCAGTTTTTTAGGCTGCGTATTTGGCACTGTCAGGCTTCACTGTGCATTTGCACACGTAAACAAATGATTGGAATCTGAGAAAAACGTGGAGGTTGAGGGTTCTCACTCAAAAAAGTTACTTATGAGTTAGAAGAAGTTAAAAGATGCCATTTTTGAAGCTTAAATCTTTGGTCTTTTGTATTCTGCTCAAAGGTAACTAAGTAAAGCTACTCCAGATTGACACCAATGTGACTGAGAGCAGAATTTGGCCCTATGTACATCATGCTTACATTGACGTGGCAGCCAGTTAACACCCAGTTTGATGCCTCCCTGCTGGCATTTATCCTCCCTCAGTGCTGTGTTGGCATTACTGTGGTAGCCGATTACAGACTCCATAAATCTCTAGCCTTTCCTATAGGTCGGCAAAGCAGATGTCAGCAACCAAAGATAAGCGTATTGCTGCAGTGTCTAAAAAACACAGGCAAACAGAACGCAGAGAGGGAACGCTCAGCTAGGTGAGACAAAGGATGTGTTCCGTGCCTTTTCCTGCATAATAGTTCAGGATTTGGGAGTTTAGTAAGCAGTGAAAATAGCTGCTATTTATAGGGTCCACATGTAAACATCAGGACACCAGTGAGGCCAGAGGAGTTTTACTGATGAGTGTATTGGAGGCAGGATTTCACAGGTTGCCTGTCCAGCAGCCAGCGCAGGATTTTGCCAATCTCATCTAGCAGCTGGAAAATATGTTGGTCCCCATCGTCTGGCTCACAGCCTGTGCGTGTCCCAACTCCAGACCTGCTGGACGGCATGCTGCGGGCCCATGGGCAGCAGAGCCAAGGCAGCCGTGGCTCTCACTGACAGGGGAGCCCTTGTTCTCCCTCCTCCTCTCCTGCTCCCCCTCTTTTTGTCCCTGCTCCCAGCCCACCCAGTCTTGCCTTTTCTGCCATTTTAATGAGACGACCTGGCTCACAGAGGGATCTGATGGCTGGCAAGGAGTAACGGGGTGGGAGCACATGGTTGGGAACATACTGGAGGAGAGAGAGAGCAAGAGGGAGCGGTATCTTTGCTTTGGCAAGGTTGTTAGGTCTTCTCAGCCCCCTCCTGAGCTGCATTTGACAAACCCTTGCGTGGGACTAACAGCACCGGCTTCCTCACACCCCCTGCTCCTCCCGGCACAGAGGGTGACAAGGTGGGAGAGCCTGCAGGGCAGGGCTGCTGTGTGCCTGTGCCACCTCCCTCGGCCTCAGGCTTGAAGGGGCTCCATTTCAGGGTGCGTGCCCCAGTTTCCCAGCCACGCTGCCCACATCCTGCCTCTCCCTGTGGGGACACCAGCAGCCAGACACTTTTTTTTCAGTGCTCTGAAGTTAGGCGCTGGGGCCGCCAGCTCTTTGCTGTCTCTGCTTGCCCTTGGAGGTGCCTGCTCCTTGCAAACCTTATCTGCCAGGCTGAGCCCAGAGTCGGCTCTGGGTCTGACCTGAGGCACAGTGATTGTGGTGTGGGGCAGGGAGCAGGAACTGCCACGCCTATGGAGAATCTGCAGCGTGAATACAGCAAAGATTGAGATAGTGCTGCTGACAGCCCCGCTCTGTCAATCAGCGTGGCCCTCTCTAACAGGGAAATGCCTTTTCAGAGCTGGTTAGGAAGGACCAACCTTCTCTCCAAGGAACAGGCAGCTGGGATGTTGCAGTTAGGACTTTAGGTGAATGATTCCATCTGAGATGCTCTTCCCGTATATCACTGTCAAGTGCTGATTTTTCCTTCCATCTCCAGTGGCAGCCTTGTGGATTTGACCGACTTGGAGAGAGCAGCCTACAGCCACCACAGCTACCTGTCCAGCGCTCCCCTGCAGAGGTAGGACAGTTCGGGGCTGCCCTTGGAGGTTTCAGCAAACTGTTAAACAGAAATGACTTTAAGGTTTTGCTTTTTTAGAATATTGGTATGTGTTTGTTGAAATGACAGCATGAAGTGTAAATGATCTTTGGAAAATACAGTGACATTGACTTAAAGATCTGTACTGCCCTGCTGTTGCGGTCTTTGCATCCCTGGGATAACACCTGTCCCTCTGTACTGTCACTTGACACAGTCAAACACATGTAGAAGCAGGCAGCTCATGGAGAGCGGTGCTGGTGTTAGGTAAGAAACCTCTGGTACCAGTGCTGGGACTGGAACCAGCTTGTGTTACAGAGGAATTCACTCTCTGTTCCTTCACAGGTCCAGTGAACCTGCTTGCAGTTACTGCAGCCGTGAGATCCGAGACTGCCCTAAGATCATAATAGAGCATCTTAACATCTGCTGCCACGAATACTGTTTCAGGGTAAAAAAAAAAAGAACCTTAACTACTGACTGCCTTCTATGTGCTGCTGTGAAATGGAGGAGGAGGAGGGGAGGAGGAATCTTGGTGCAAATTCTGTCCTCAGACTTTCAGAGTAATGTATATAGTGTGTGCCAAATGCTTGCATTCACATCAGGACAAAAAAAGTCATGCAGTCACAGGTGTTGGTTGTGTCCCAAAAAGCTTTTCAGCTCCTCAAATAAATGTATATTAGAAGAAGGAGAATTCTTTATTGTCATCTGATAGAATAGCAGCACCCTCTTTCCTCATGTCCCTGTCCTTGTGGCAGACTTGCTCATTTGTGGCCTTTGTGCCCCAGTGCAGGTCTTGCTGAACCTCTCAAACCTTGCAAAGTTTACAAGTGAACTCTGTGGAAATGGTGAGTGTGGGAGGAGGAAGCCTGCAGTGGCATTTGTCTGTTGTAGAAAAGTTTAGCCTCAAACTAGGTCACTGCTTTGGCATCCTCACACCTTTATAAAGTGATACAGAGACTGTTCATTTCTCTGCCCCCTCCGTGCTGTCACTACAGTATGGTCCAACCACCTTGTTTTCCCTTTGGCAGTGTGGAATTTGCCACAAAGCAATGGGAGATCTTCTGGATAAAATATTCATCCACCGGGACATTGTCCACTGTGACAAGTGCTACGAGAAACTCTTCTAGGTGAGTGCCCCTTTACAGTGTCAGCATAAATGGCTGGATGAGAGAGCTCATGGAGTTTACTGAATGCAGAGCATTTAACCCTCACATTTACTGAGTGACCCATACAGGGATTTTCCTGTGGCTCTTTAGTGGGAAGCAGCGACCCTTGTTGCAGAATCAGCTAGAAACATGCTAGGGCTGGTCCCAGGGGTCTCGGTTAGAGCCAGAATCTCTGGCCGTATGTGATAAACAGGCTGTGTTAGCTTCACGTGGGGGAGACAAGCAGAGGGATGGCTTGAGTGAAGAGAGAAATGTCCCTTAGAGGTTGAGAGTTCTCTCTGAAGGTAATTAAAGAGTTCCTCCTTGCATCCTGCACTAACCCGCTGCAGGGGGGTGGGTGCTGTTTGCAGCCGTAACGCTCCTCCAGCAAGGAGGCAGCGTGTCAGTGGCAGGTGCAGTTACTGCTTTACGTAAAGATCCTTTGAGATGAAAACCACTGGGAAAACTAAAGAGTTGTATGCTCTGTCAACAGATCAACAAGGAAGTAGGTTGGATATGGTTTTGTTTTGTCTGATTATCTGGATGGGGCAGGAGTCACCACGGTGGCAACCAGAAACCCTGCCCCTGCACTGAGATTATAAAAAGAGGCCTCCTTTCCTCCCTCTGCCTCGTGATAGAGAGAAGGAGGGAAAGGGGCACCTGCCTCACTGCATACACGGCTGCTTTGTTTGCCTCTTAATGCAATGTGACTGGCCAGCCTTTTTCGTCCCATTCCTGCAAGTTCATCTGCTCCACTGACCTCTATAATGCAGTGTTTTGTGTGGTACCCAGCTCCTATGTTCACCTTCTCTTTATTTGCTTGCAGGGTTTTGCAAAGCTGGAGAAGGCAGCCAGTGGAAAGTCCTCAGCAGCACGTATCAGAATATATCTAGCAGTTCCTGACTGGCTAAGATAGCAGAATTCCTGCTTCCCCCCTTTCCTCAGGTTATTTTCCCTCTCGCTGCCTCATCACAATGAACGAGTTTAACATCCGCTAGTTTATGCTGTCAGCTGCGTACAAGACAAGTGCCAATGTTAACAAGATAGGGCAGTGTCATCTACGGAGATAAGTGGGCTGATTTTCCAAAGGTGCTGAGCCCCTCCGCCTGTCTTTAACTTCATTAAGATTCCAGAGTGCTCCCTGTGTTGGAAGTCAGGCAGAGCTCCTTAGGTCTGTCTAAGCTAATTGCGAGAAACCTTTTCCGATTTTTTTATTTTCTTTCATTTCTGCAATCAGGCTGCAGCTTAGTGTGTGTGAGCTGGCACAAAGCAAGCAGATACGAGAACTGTTAAAACACTAAATTTGGATTCTTGGGAGGGTCTGAATTTAGTTCTTAGCAAAAGCCTATTTCTGCTTCTCTCACCCCCAAACTCTGCCTAGAAATAGCTTCTGCCTGACTTCCATTTGCTTTCCATGGGCTTTCAGGAGGACTCGCAGACGCACTTTACTCTAATTGTGTGTCAGCTTTAATTTCCCTTTCCTGCCTACTCCCTGGTGGATTGCTGCAGCAGCATGTGTGTCTGCTGTCTGTTTGGGAAGATAACACTCTCTTTCACCTGGTAGTTTAACTTGGCCTCTGATGGTAGGTGTCTCATGGCCATAGAAAACGTGCCAGAGAATGGGTATCTCAATTGCCTCTCCTGATGAGGAGCACTGCTTGACTGAAATCTGAATTTCCCCCCCACCTCGCCAAGGCTTGCCGTAATGCCTCTCTTGTTGCTGTAAATTATTTACATCACAAATGCTCACTCACAAAATTGAACTTCTAGCAGATGCTGCACTTACTAAAAGTCAGAATCGCGTAATTTTAGCCCTTAATTCAGATGCTGAGGGGTTGAGAAAGCTGAATACCGAAACCTGAATGTCAGCCTCTATGCCTTAAAAGTACAGCTCTGAATGTGTCCAGAGAGTTACTGTTTTCTCTTTGACAGCATTAGGAAGGTCTGCAAAGCACCCATGTCAGTTCTGTAGTAGCTCTTACATGGAAATAGGTGATGGCAAAAGCTCTAATGCAGACTATTGTTAGCTAGATAATTCTTCACGCGCTTAGTGATGGACGCTGGCATGCATGCCAAAGCTTAGCAAGTTAGTGTGTTACAGCACAAGTGCTACTTAGCTTTTTTTTTAGGCCACTGTACCAGTTATTTAACCGAACTATAGGCATGACCTCAGAAGCAACTCCGCGAGGGGAACTCTAGTTGAGAGCAGTAACAGCTCCGCTACTGGCAAGCTTCAGGTTGGGACCTTAGAGCCGTGCCTGCGACAGGGGATTGGGCAGCTCCATTTTGAGCGTGTGTGGTACAACCGGGGGACCAACAGCCCCCTGAAATCCCAGTAGTCACGAAGGCGTGATTTTTAAAAATGACTACTGATTTTTGGCTGCCTACGTTTCCAAGTTATCAAGAGGTTAGAGACACGTTACTTTCTGAACAGAAGAGGGTCACAAGGCATCTCATCTCCCCAAATCGCTCATTTCTGAAGACCGCGGCCTGCGGTTCCTTACTGGTACCTGTACCAGCCGTGGGGAATGACGGGTACGGCAGCTGTTACACGTCTCATTATGCCATGGTCAAAGGGGGATTGTTTAAAATACCGAAACAGATGGGCCTGTAACTACAGAGGCACTTTGAGAAGATGATCTGCAGAAATAACGTATTGACCAATTCCAGAGTTCCCGATGGGTACGTGGCCTTACGGGGAACAGGATTTGTCCCATCATACGTTTTGCACCATCCCTCCTCAGCACTGCGTTTCCCTGTAGCGATTGTTTCACCTCAGTATACAGCTCTAATAAACAGTCCTAGCTCACGTGCAGCGTCCTCACCCGCGCCGGCGTATAACACGCTCCTGTTGTGTGCCCTTTGATCTGACGGCCTGTGTCGTGTTGTGCTGCTCGGTGGCCTACGGGCATGACCCGTTAGTAAAGTCACTGAATGCTTTGTTGGAGGATGTGGCAATGAGAGAGAGAAGAAACGGTACCAACGAGAAAGGGTATTCTCAAAGGGGGTGTGTGTGTGTGTGTGTGTGTGTGTGTGTCTGCAAACTGGCTCGGCGAATATTCTCCACACAATTTTAAGTCTGGTTGCTCTAAAAACCTGCTATTACCCGGGGAAAAGGGAGCCTTGATCCACAGCGCACCACCCTAAGCGTGCTAGCGGGCCCCAATCTGAAAAATCGCCCCTCTGTCCAGACAGGGGTCTGGACTGCTGCTCTCAGAGGTCCTGCCCGTCCCTTCTTCACGCACGTCCTAGGGTCAGGCTGAGGAGAACTGCCGTCCTGCTGACACCTCTGTGTAGCATCGTCACAAAGGGTTCGATGGCGTGTGTCCCCCCCCAAAGACACGTATCACCCAAAAGGAACCTGCAGCTATTCTAAAAATAATATGCTTTAATTTGTTTTGGCCTGAACTTTGAAGAATTGCTGACCTACCCCTCCCTGCTCCACCCTCCTGAACAAAAAAGAAACAAAATTCTTTAAAGATGTAAATCTTCCTGTTTCCTGGTATCCCCACCTATTTGTGGAGAAGGGGTCATCTGCACACAGATTTCTCCTACGTGATGGATGAGGTGACGTATTTTTCACAGACACGAAAGAGATCTTATTTCGCTAGGGATCCTGCCGCTTGTGGGGACAAACCTCGACCAGATTATTTCACGTGAAGTCACATAAACGTATATAAAGGCTACAAGACGTGACGCTAGCGACTGAGCAGAGGTGGAGGCAAACCCGTCCCCGCAGCGCGGCCCCTGCGTGGTGGCACCGAGCGCCGTGCTTTTGGAGGTACCATCTTTGGCGCAGACTAAACCTTCCCAGAGCAACTTTCACGGCTGCCGGTGCTAGACCTGGTGTTCAAGCCGACTTACAAGAAAAAATAGATTCTGCTTATAGCACTCGTCCTCGATGGCTGCAGGAAGATACCCAACACCTATCAGAAGATGCCAGAGGGTGTATTTGGGTCCCACACACACATTTTGGAGGAGGACGTGAAAAGACTGACGATGTATTTATTGTCGCCTGCTGAAACCACGTCCCGAAGAGACGTGGCGCTTACCATAGCTTTGGCAGGTCCCGGCTAATCTTTATTTCGCGTATTTCCTTCCAGGACTGTATGCACAAGGGGAGACCCCTTCTCCCCCTCACCCACCAGCCCCTGCCGGCCAGGGCTCCTCCCCAAAGAGTCAAGCTTTAGTAAAGCCTTAGTGAGCCCTAGCAGAAGACCACGGCCCCACGGGCAGCCTCCTCTCCTCCCGGCCCACGCTGCGCCGTGCCCGCACACAGCAGCGCCGGGCCGGGCCGGGGACCCCGCCGCGACG